CAAAAAAGCATGCTTTTGAATAAAACAATAGCTTCATACATCAGCATGCCCTAATCTACATATACATAAAGCATTCAAAAGAATGGCCTACTGCATCTATTCTCAGCTGTTCAGTCATCAATGTTCAGTAAACCTGGTAGACACAATCATGCAACAATGATTATATATAATAAATAGTATTATAGAAATAAGCTCATTGCCATCATTATAAAATGTTAAAAAGAAATAGATGGTAATGAAATATTTTTATGTTATGATTTTAAAGTATTTTGCATTTAACTAGGAAAATTTAAATAGAAAAAATTTAAACATATTGAGCCTGTGCAGTGAAATAGTCTGATAAATGTAGCTCTCACCCATTATTACAGAAGCCTCTTTTACAATAGATAGAGACTACGCAGATCTACAAATGACCAAAATGCAGACTAAGTTTTTGTGGGTCGTCCAGGCACAACAAATAGATCGGCAACACTTCCCTTACACCTAATGCTCAGGAGACATCCTCAAAGGAATGGTGAAAAATTTGTAATACTTAGAGGAAAAAAGATGCCTGCTGCTAGATAGTGTCCCCTAGATATGACAGTAAAACTGTGCACATGAAATCTTAGCAATATGGTTGCCTGAATATCATCAGTATGATGCCATGAGTTGACATGACTGTGGGTTGAGGAAATCCCAGAATCTCCCAAGTATAGATGAAGAGCATGGGGTGGTCAATGGCTAATAGGAAAAGGAGAACAAGTTTCCTTCATGGATGAGCTCACACACACACATTGTCCTATCTGAAGTGGTCAGTCTTGGACATTTACATATAAATAGCAGTAAATAGACTTATTAGGCTTTGTGTGTGCATATGAAAAATAATACACAAAGGAGAAGAGGGCATGGATTTGGAAAGGAGGAGTGGGACACAGGAACAACTGGAGTAGGGAAGGAGGGGCTGTAATAATACAAATGCAATACTAAATACAACTTCTCAAAAACATAAAGTTAAATGTGTTGAAGTAGAATCAAAGCCACAGTGGTGCTGAAAACTCCTGCATAGAATGTACAGCAATAATTTCCCAGATAGATTTGGAGTTAGATGGAAATGGAAATGATCTAAGCCCACTTATGCCATTTGCCAACTAACTCCATTAGCTTATGCAAAGATGGAATGCACTTACATGCATCATGTAGACATTCTAATTGATGCTGTAAAAAACATTATTATAACTAAAATTGAAACACTAAAGCAATTTCTTTTAAAATCTGGAAAATGGACTAGATCTAATGCTGAGAGTATTTATCACTACTAAAATAATTTCTGATTAAAATAGTAAGACAGCAATTTTAATGGCTAAATAGCAAAAGGGAACAGAATGCAAGAATCATCAAGTAGGTTGATTAAAGACTACATCTCGTTAAAAGACTGTCACATTACATATATTTGATAAATATTTAAGATAATGTGTATCTGATAAATTTAGTAACATAAGTTAGAAAAAAAGATAAGATTATATAAGAGCTCCTAGAGGAAAACTGGTAATTTATAGATACCAATTTTATTAGTTTATTTTTAATTTCTTTTATCCCCTGAGGTTGTAATATAGTTACATAATTTTCCCTTTCCCTTTCTTCTGTCCAACCCATTTCATATATTCTTCTTTATTCTCTTTCAAATTCATGACCTCTTTTATCAATAATCCATATATGTATCTACATATATATGAATACATACATACATATATAAGGCATATAAAGAATTAATGACATTAAACATTATTAAATGTTATAGCCATTAATTTCTTCAATTTTAAGTTTCATCTCTTCTGTTTCAATAATAACCTTATTATTTTATAAAATTTTTATTATGTGATTTTTAATTCCTACTGCATACACCTTCTACTTGAGTAGATTTGGAATTTTACAAGGATTATATCAGAAAATGCCAGTCTTTTGTATGGAATTATATTTCTGGCATTCTACATGAGCAACAGAGCAAGGTCTATGCTTAGTCTACATGAACTCCAATATCAAAATAACACATATATTTTTCCTATTGAAAATAAATATACTGTGATTATCCAGTGACTTTGGGTCATAGATAAATGAACACTATGCACTGAAAAAAATGAATACTTTGGTTGAAAATTCTGAAGAACAAATAAAGGTGGTGATATAAATGAAGTCAATTATACTCAGTAGGCTAGTATTGAACAACTAGTAAAAATATATTTATAGCTATTAGCATGAGCAGACTAAATCTGAGTCTATACTGATTTTAGATACAGTGAAACTGCCTTGGAAAACCATGTATTAGTAGTAATTTCTCCTTCAACTCCTAAGACACATTATATTAAATATACCATCCTTTTATCCCTCTTAAAATCCAATGATGATTATCAGAAGATGAATCTCAGGCTTGAAACCATATAGTTTAGATGTGTCAGTGATTCACACTTTCCAAAAGCATTTGAAATCATCCCTCTTAAAATCCAATGATGATTATCAGAAGATGAATCTCAGGTTTGAAACTATATAGTTTAGATGTGTCAGTGATTCACACTTTCCAAAAGCATTTGAAATTATTAGTATTTAAGTCAGGATATAATCTCTTGAAAAGCTCTCTCTAAACCAGCAGTTCTCCAACCCCTTTGGGGACAACATGTCAGATATTCTGCACATCAGATATTTATATTACAATTTACAACAGTATCAAAATTACAGTTATGAAGTAGTATCAAAATAATTTTATAGTTGGGGTCACCACAACATGAGGAACTGTACTAAAGGATGGCAGCATTAGAAATGTCAAGAACCACTGATAAACCAACTTGAAATTACTAGTTCAAGCCTTCATCAACTTTTTTGCAGCCTCCACTTACTGAATTTTCCACTTTATTCTATTTCATTCTTTTAATACTCTACATATTGAGAAAATATATAGACTTGAAATATTTAATTAAGTCATGCCTCTCATCTACTTAATAGCTTCAGTGTCTCCCCACTGACATTAGGATAATAGTCAAAATCAGTTTCACGGCCTGTAACACCTCAATATGCTAGCCCCTATGTACTTCCCTCTCATCTCAATTAGACACTGCTCTTCATCTAATAACTTCAGCAACATGTTCTTCATTAATATGAAATGATCTTTTCTATAACATGGTTTGCCTGCCTTTGTCCATAATTTATGCACATTTTATACTTTTCTTGCTAACATAATAACCCTTAGGTCTCAGCTTTAATGACTCATTGGTTTCTTGTATACATGCATATCATGTTTTTCCCTCATCATATAAATCTTACTGTAACAATTTCTTACATGTTTGTCTGCTGAATGAGACTGTAAGCTCTGAGATAATTAAAACCTTGTATTGTCAGAATATCACTGTGTCATGATTTCTGCATGAGGCATCATTAAAAATGCTCAGGAATTGGAGGTTTGTCCCTTGGTTGATGAATCCAGTCACAAAACACATATGGATCATGATAGCTCTGAATCTACTATGAAGTGGTGGAAACTATCCAATAGATTCTAATTGAAGGATGTTGACTGTAGGATATGCATTCATCTTGTCCCTGGTCCATTGCTGTCTCTCTCAGTGCTTTCTGGCTGACATGAAGGAGGCAGATCTACTCCATCACACTCTCTTCCAAAATGTTCTCCCTTGCTGTCGGCTAAAAGTAATGGAGCCTGATGCCACTAATTGAAACATCTACAACCACAAAAAGAGTCTTTCTTTTGAGTTGTTTTAATCAAGCATTGTGTCACAGTGATGAATAGTTGACTAACAAGGATACAAATGTGGTCCTAGCCTAATTGAGCTTGCTCTGAGCAGGAGTGGATCAAACACAAGCTCATCAATTTCACATATATGTTTCCTCCTGGAATATGATGGTGCAAATGGTAAATTGAAAGCTATCAATTTGAATCAAGGAAACATGAGATGACCAGAAGTTTAGGCTACTATATTCTTCATGGAGGCCAGTCTTCAGTGAGACATTGCTTCAATAATTTAAATTAGTAAAACAACACAAAAGATTTTAAATTATTTAAAGATAAATATTATTCAAATTAAAGCTGGAAACCATCTTTTTATTTTAGCAGAGAACAGTAGTAGGTAATATCCAAAACAATAAGGAACAATTTTATCATATTTTCCTTTTTTTTATCTCTTCATGATGAGCCACTTTCTCCAACAGAACAAATAACAACAAAAACAACAAACCATAGTAATATAAAGTTTGCATAGTTAGCCTGGAGATAGAGGAAGTGTCTGGGACATGGAGAAAAAGACATCTAGTAACAAGTCCTCACTGACTAGCACCTCTGTTTCTCTCAATTGGTTACCTTCTCCCATTCCTCTCCCTGGTCTCTCACTCGATCCTCTCCCACTTATTTATCATGCTAATATACCTTTCTCTGTGGTTGTCTTTAATCTCACTGAATTTTATTTAAAATATGGATGAGTTTAATGAATACACCAAACTGGATGAACAAAAATCCTTGAGGCCTCAAGCCTACTAAAAGAACTATACATGAATAAAAGTGGGAAACAGATTGTGATCAATTAGTTGTAAACAACACTACTTTCGGACCAACCACATGGAGGGATACTCCCTGAGCCCAGATACAAGCAGGTTTGTCTAGGCCCTATCCCAAAGAATATGACAGACTTTGAAGACCCCCTATCAAAGGCCTCACCCTCCCTGGGGAGCAGAAAGGGTATGTGATGGGTACAGGGTTAGTTGGGGGGGGTCAGGGGAGGAGAGAGGGAGAGGGAACTGAGATTGAAATGTAAAGTAATTTTCTTTCTAATAAAAAAAGGGAGGAAAAAAGTGGGAAACAGGATTTTTGATCCTGAAGTGGAATAAGAAATGTTTCTCCTGGTGTTGAGTCCTGAACAGCTTCCTGACATGGGACTAGAGGACGAACGAAAGATGCTTACTGGCTTGATCCTGAAGTGGAATAGGAAATGTTTCTCCTAGTGTTGAGTCCCGAACAGCTTCCTGACATGGGACTAGAGGACGAACGAAAGATGCTTACTGGATCCAGAGACTCCAAAGAGGAAGAAGAGCAGGAGGAATTAGTGGACCCCCTAACTACAGTGAGAGAGCAATGTGAGCAGTTAGAGAAGTGTGTAAAGGCCAGGGAGCGGCTAGAGCTTTGTGATAAGCATGTCTTCCCCAACACAGACGAAAAGGATTGTACAGAGGAGCTCTTTGACTTCTTGTATGCACGTGACCACTGTGTGGCCCACAAACTCTTTAACAGATTGAAGTAGCTGCACAGATTCATCCACCTCAGCCTTGTCACCAGGCATCAGGAAAAGTTCCTTGTGGTTTTAAACCATTTGATTCCAATGTGTATTCTGGAGAACCACAATGATTATGGCAATTAGCTTCTCTACCATGTAATTAGCAGCGATTCCATCTTAATAAACTGATATGCAGACCTGCAAAAAAAAAAAAAAGAGTGGGAAACAGAAATGTGGTCCTCCCTGAGGGAGAACATAATAATTGGTTGTCTAGTGCCAAATGATTGGCCCAAAAATATATTAAAAGTAACAATACATGTACTCAACAGGTTATAGTTAGGAATACATAAGTATATACAAAGGAGGTCATGAGTCTGAAGGATAGTAGGAAGGGCTATATAGGAGGGTTTGGAGGGAAGAAAGGACAGTGAGAAGTGTTGTAACTAAATTATAATCTTAAAAATAAATAAAAAGAAATCTTTATGTTTAAATTTCTTTAAAGATGATTTTAAATTCATTTCATCTTGTTGAGCTTAAAAATAAAAGGTGACACAGAAAGAGTGACTAGGTTATGGTAGTGAAAAAGATCTAACCCTTTGTATTCTATATCATCTATGATTTTATTAGTTCAGAGCAATGCACAGTGATGGGTATATGGCACACGTCACTTGAAGAAGAAGAGTAGAAAGTGAAATATGCTGCAATATGATCTTTTTGTTTGTGTTCAAGTGTAAATAGACTTATAGTGAGCACTCTGGATGAATAGCAAGAAAAGAATTTTGAAATAATATTAGTTCCAAAAAACAAACATTCAGTGTGAAACTTTAAGATCTCACTCTAGAAAAGTCAAGTCTTTCCTGAAAGAAATGACTTCTGAATGGCATGAATAACTTGCTGTTACTTTTAACATTTCACACTCATAACATTTTAGATTTATATTCCCGGAGAAAGCAGCTCAAGAAGATTCTCAGATCTGCAAAGAAAATGACTTTGCACATAACAAAGATAGCATCTCTGGAGAAGGAGCTAGTGCCTCTTTAACAATGCAAGTTGCCTCATGACATTCGAGGAAGTTCGAAGAGGCTGGATTCTGACTCTGTGGTGGCAGATCCTCCAAGTCACTTACGCCACACTCACAGTTAGTCTTCACCACATAGACATTTATTCTCTGAGAATAGCGTCTTATAAATAAGGTATCTTGCCGCTCTGCACTTCTGTCATTTGTCAGAATCGTGACTGTTCTGTTTGGAAACCATAGCTAGCTGTCTCTCTAAATAAGACAAATAGAAAGAGAGGAAATTTCTAAACAGGTTCTCTAGCCCTTATTCTGTCTTTTCATTTCCTGAAAATCCCCTAGATTCTGTCTCAGATGCTTTAGTAAAAAATGTTTCTTGCTATTTTAATCTGCTGGTGACTACCTAGGTACCGTACTTGTTATCTGTGTGGTACTTCTGGATTGAGAAATTCGTTAAACAGACAAATTTAAACTCCCCACTTGTCTAAGAAGTGGAAATAAGATGGGAACAAAGTGAAATCTGTTTTTTTGGGGTTTCTATTGAAGCAATGGAGAAAAGCAGGATGAGAAAAAGAAAATAAGGTATACTTGAAAAAAGAGAATATCCATTGTGGGACATGGTGATAATATTGTTTATGATCTAATAAAGCCCCTGGAGATCTGAATACAAAGCTAGACACAACCGTAAGAGGCCAGGCAGGGGTAGCACATATCTTTAATCCCAAGACTCAGGAGACAGAGGCAGATGGATCTCTGTGAGTTCACAGCCACCCAGGACTACAAGAGAGTGAATCAGTTTAAAAGAAAAACAGAGCTCACACAAAAGTGATCATAGGACTTGGGAACTCATGCCTTTAATCTCAGCCCTAGAGAGAATATAAGGAGCTCAGTGCAGTCTCAGAGGGCAGTCTAAGATTCTGAGGCTTGGTGGAGAGGAGTGGAGTCTGGAAATGCAATCTGAGGTTCGTTTGATGGTCCCTTCAGTCTGAGCATTGGAAAAGGTGAGAACTCTCTAGTGGTTTGCTGCTTTGTTTTTCTGATCTTCATCTTGAACCCCAATATCTGTGTTTGGGTTTATATTATTTGTGCTACAGTGGGAGGTACTGTTTCTATGTTTATATAAAGCAGTCACTGGTATTTGATAATATCTGAGCAGACTTGAAGAATACAATGAGTCATGTTGACATCTAGAAGAGCACTTTAAGAAAAAAGATTAGTTTAAAGAAGCTAATGTATCAAAAAGTCCAAGAAAGAACAATGGCAAAGGGAGGTATTACAAATGATGTCTAAAAATTAGGAAGGGACCAAGTAATATTAAGTATATAGCCACAAAAAGCTTTGGGTGTTCTCAGAGCTAGGACACAGGAATGACTGCGTCTCAACATGTTTACCAATAATTCTCTGGCTTGCCATGAGACAACAGGCTGGAAGCATGGGTAGTAGACAGAAGAGCAATTTACTAGGACATTGGTATGGCACTGCAAAGAGATGATGGTGCTCTGAGTTAAAAAGGAAAGCACAAATCATGTCTCAATCACGGAGCAAAGAAGTCAATGTTTTCAGTTTAGATATTAGTTTCTTGTCACTGACACAGCCAGATACTACTGAGCCACTCCCAATTGCTCATCAGTATCATGATCATTATCTACCAAGAGTGACTTGGTAAAAAGGATGATGAGATTGGTGCTCATTTGTGTTTGTTTTCATGGCAGTATTAACTACCATACACTATTTATGAACTTATTACAAGTTGCCCATTTATTTAATAGTGCCTGTTTTATTCATAAGTATTTACTTATCTTGAAAATGGTGAAATTTGTAAAGTCATTATATACATTCCTTCTCTTTTAATTAAGATTTTTTTAAAGATTACAGTACAATTACATATTTCCCTTGCCTTTCTCCCCTTCAGACTTTCTCATGTTCACTTCCTCCCTGCCTTTTTCCAAATCCATGGCTTCTTTTTCATTAATTGATGATATATGTAACATATTATATTAAACATTAATTTTTATATTAAATTTATATAATCTGTATTTTACTCCACATTTATTGGTGTCAATAGCTTCCCTGTTTACATACACACACATTTATATACACACATATATATGCATATATACATATATATTCCTAATACATAAATTTGACCTGCTCAGTCTATATAATGTTACTAGTTTGTATATGTTTTCAGGGCTGACCATTTGGTATTGTATAACCAATTTGGTGTGTACTTCCCTGGGAAAAATTATTTCTCCAAAACTCAGGATTCCTTAGTGGCCTGGAGTTCTTGGTTGTTGTCGCTTAGAGTCCTACTCTTTTCCAAAGAAGAAACAGGAAGAATGGATGTGGGGGATATGAGAGATGGAAGGATATCTGGGAGGAGTGGAGGGATGGGAAACTGTGATCAGGATGCATTGTAAGACAGAAGAATCTATTCTTAATAAAAACAATGCTAAATGTCCTTCGGACCATCCCCCTCCACAAGTACATGTCCATTGGTGCCATTCTGGTTCAGGAGAACTGAACCTGCAACTGACACTTTACTAAACCAGCACAATCCCTAACTACATTTACTTTGTAGCTAAAATAATTTCTTTATTTTTGATTGATCAATCAAAAATCACAATAAAAGCTTTGATGGATGACCAGGTATATCATCATCACTCTTTAAAAGATTTTGTAAATTATAGCATCTTAGAATTTGGTGTAAATAATCAAGAAAATATCCTACTGCCCCACATCTCATACATTTTTACATTTCAAAATTCAATCTCTTTGCTTACCCTAAAGCTTGTGATTTTCATACCATGTTTCAACCTAAATAAAAAGTCTCTCTCTTTTGGAATTCCTTCTGACAATATTTCTAATCACAGCACATCACTAGATTTCCCTTCTTCTTAATATAGACCATGTAATAAAAACTGAAATACAGAGAATTCTTCACTCTACATTCAAAAAAAATGTCATTCACAATAATTTAAGTGATGCTCTGTGTCTCATCATTTCAAAACTGAAAAACAGAGAATTCTTCACTCTACATTCAAAAAATGTCATTCACAATAATTTAAGTGATGCTCTGTGTCTCATCATTTTTTTGTTTTAGAAATTGATTATGCACCAACTATATATTAATATATTTTACTACCAATTTATATAATACAATTCTTTGATTTTAGGCTGTCAATAATTTTCTTACTTACAAGTAAGCCAATAAACAAAGCATTAAACAAATGTCCCAGAGAAGGCAAAGACACAGTGATGCTAATGGAATCTGACCTAGGATGAAAAGTCCAAGAGCTTTAGAAGCAGATTTTCTTGTTCCCACCAAGTATCAACTGCAAAAAAAGTTCTAGGTCATGGATGGGACTTTATGTTTATTTCTTCTTCTATGTGCTGAAATTTTGTCTGATTTGAACCTATATAGGTATTGTGCATGCTATGAGTTCACATTCTTATCAAGCCTGCTGTGTCTGAATGATGCTGTTTTCTTGGAGTCACCCACTATCTCTGTCTCTTAAAATCTTGCAGTCTCCTCTTCAATACTGATCCCAGAGCCATGATGGCAGAGCTTTGATAAAGTCATTCCATTGAGGAGTATGTGCTCCAAAGTTTCTCACTCTCTTCTATTCATCAAATTGTGAATGCCTACGTTAATTGCTATCAACAAAAAGAGAAAACATCTCTGATGAAGAGTCACCTATGGGTACAGCAATATGTCATTAGGATCCATCTTACTGCAGTGTTAATTTAGCAGAATAAGAAGAAGTTTTCCATGAGGGACCTTAACCTTTCTAGTCTTGGATTTTGTATGACTTTAGCACTTTACTTCATGGAACTGGCCTTTAATCTGAGATAAAAGTAGCTGGTCACTACCACATAAATCACTTTTCTGCATTGAGTGACACTGGTTATATCAACTGCATTGCATTTCTGACCACAAGCCCAAGAGTAGTTGGCCATCATAAAAAACATCATCCATGTTTTTTGTGTGAAGTTTGTTTCAGTTTGATTT